GGGGGGGCTGGTAGCAATTTGGGGGGGGGAGGAAAAAAGATTCTGATTTTTCAGGCAGAAATTAGCTCAAATGTTATGCATTTGTAAGTAGTACAAAGGAGTTGTGATCTAATTGGGAGCCTGGAGTATATCAAAACAGATTACAATAAAGTGATGAAGACCAAGACAGCACATGAAGAAAATGGCTCTCCTCTGGGAAAAAAAAGTTACTCTTGTGATTAGAAATACATTCCTTACTAGTTAAGGACTTAAGACGATTGAGATTCTTTCGCTGTTAATAAACTGTGTGATTTTGCTTTCAGAGGTTTAGACTTATAGAGAAATGAAATCTCAGTAATTTTACCCCAGCTTAATAGAAAAGTATACTGTGGTTCAAGAATATTATTTAAGAAACCTTCTTCTCTAGCTGTGTGACTCATAGCAATTTACATAACTAAGATCAACTGCTTCAAAGTCTGATTTTCCTTTCATTATACCAATCAATATCTTTACTGATTTGAGGCAAAAAATATTAAAACAATAGTAACTTTCCTTCTTACTTCTCTTGAATTTTATTGTCAAAACATAGAGCTCCACAGAAATATTTCCATTCACCTTCCGTTTCCTGGAATAAAAACCCCAACAACTCACAAATATTAGATCAATTCTGAACTGACTATCCTCTCAGAAAAATTTACATAGACAACTTAAGAGCTATCTTTTAAAGTCACAGTCAGTAAGGAGTAAATTCTTATCACAAGAAATGCAGTGTCAGAACTAGCTTACCTCAAATACAGCTTCATCTCTGTAAGAAGGAAAATTTTGCAGTACTAGATGTAGTAGCTTCTGGGCACTTTTCTCACTCATTTTAACACAGGTGAGGAAAGAACCTCCAAACTTCTCTAACAGAACTGTTCCACTTTCATTCAGCAGCCGGTGTCTTTCTTCAATCAAAGGTATGGGGACTTCTGTGTCAGAGCGAAATACGTGCTTAACTTGGTCAAGGGTCATGGTGGCAAAATACGATGCGCTGGTAATAGGTATTCCTTCAGAAAAGTAAAAATAAGATGTTTAGGCTATCATACATAACATATCCTAAGACCTAATGCAGTGGCCTGCTACAGATGAGCACATTTACATGTAAGATCTAAAGAGTCTATCGACTCTTAGAACCGCCTTGAGCCTTCAGCAATAACCGCATTCACACAGCTGCTTAAAATTAAATTTGTGTTTGCGCAGAGTGCTTGCTTCCACAAATAACAATTTCCGACATACAGCTGTGGAACCCTTCCTGGTTTTTACAGGTAATTTTCCCCAACTGTTTAGTCTTCGAGTGTGGCATTTACCTAGCGCACTGGCAAATATAGTCAGTAGTCCGCATAGGCCTGTTTTCCCTTAGCTCCTAATGGCGTTGCGCATTCACAAGAAGTATCATAACGCAAACCTTCCCTTAATTTACAAACAAGCACGTAGGAAATTAATTAAAGCCTCCACCTACACCTACAAATAGATACCTTTTCTCCCCCGATGACAGCAACAAGAGTGAGCGCTAGGACAGTGGTTTTGGAGGCATACGGGGTTCCAGACTTACTGGAGCCGCTTCGGTACTAGACTAGTCCGGAGGATTCTCAAATTAAGCCTCATTTTCTCTCGGAAACACTCAATCTCTCTTAGGAGCACACAGAAGCCGCGAACAGCTGGCTACAGACATTCCTGGAAGTCCTTTTAACGGAAACGAGCTCACGCGGCCAGAGCCGCGAGCGGCGTCGCTTCAGGACGAGGTACGGCCAAGCACGCTACGGGGACGGCCTGCGCGCGCGGATTTACCAACGCAGCAGGCGGCCCTTGGCA